TTCCCACGAAATCGACTTACATTAAAGATGATCAAGAGCACATAAAATCACCTAAAGCAAACATCGAAGAAGATTCATATGGTTCAAGGAAGAAAAAGAAACAGAGTTTCCTATGCTCATTTTGTCGTAAGTAAATTGATGAATTTTAACCTTTATTTCCCGTTATCGCGGCAAAAGGTCCAACGTGACATATTGTTTGAAATTCGTTTACAAATATTCTACTAGCATGATCTCAGATACTGTTCTATTCATAATGCGCGGCTTTTTGACATTTTTGAAACAATGTCACAAGGATTTCCTGAGTTCATTTCAAGAATTTTTGTTTTTTTCTGCAGAGTTGCAAACCTGTCATTTCGGAGGTTTTATATTGATGTATAAAGGGTGTCTTAAACAGATTAGATACTACCGGTGCGATACAACGCGTTCAAAAAGGGAGTTAAAATTTTGGTAGTTTTCCGCTCGTTTCCGGATAGCGAGATGTGTATATTACGTTTCTCGGCAGGTTGGAAAGTCGTTGGTTTTTTTCATCGCCTTTCAAATTGACCTGCCAATTATGCCTGACTGCTGGGCATTGTGCAATGATCAGAATTGCCAAATAAAAATAGAATGAAAATTTATTTAACACGGTTGTTTTCAGTGGCATGAATAAAAAAAAATTAGTAAATTTAAATTTCTTTCAGGAGGACCAAAGGAGCAAATGAATTTTCTTAGCTCTTTGCTCCAGCTCCGCTCCGGTATTCTATTTCGGTCCGAGCTCGCCTTGCCCCACTCCCGCTCCCAATAAAAACTTTGTTTATTTATATATATTTTTTAATTATATACCAGCGCAACTTTTGTCTTAGTATGCGTGCACTAGCAACCCTCCAAAAAATTTGCGCCTTATATAGAGCTTATGTTCATAGGCGTAGCCAGGTAGGGGAGTGGGATGCTCGAGCCCTCCCTAACTTTCAAACTTTCCTTATATATATATAAATTAGTACCCTGAAATGCCAGCTTAATGCAAAAATTCTCAAAAATCAACGGAATTTTTTAGCAGCTTGAAACTTGCACTTCTTCAGACTAGAATTGAATGGGCTACAAAACTGCATACCAACATATTTTCTAAAGATTCTGGTTAAATAGTTTGAAATTTTGGTGAAAATTTGCAGAATTTTTATAATTTTTGTACAAACTTGAAAATGTAAATTTATATGGTGTTTGTTGTATTACCAGCTAGGCTTTTACAAAAAAATACGAAACATTAAATAAACTAAAGACAAATAGCCAAAACAGGTTAAAATATCCCACTCCTATTATTTTGTGGACAACTGTACATAAGCCCTTAAAATAAGGTCTCACATTGAGTATAACTTCCTTATAATAAGGCCTTACATGGAGTATAATTTCCTTATAATATACTTCACGAAGGCTTTTTCATAATTAAGAAAAATAAATAAAAATTTAATAAAGTAAAATCTTAAATTTCATATTCCGTCTGATAGGGATTGAACCCGGACAGCCTTGGCAGCAACCAATTGTATCAAGCATCTTTGCACATTCAGCTACAGCCAAATGTGTAAATGTGCTTTCAAATGTTGAATTTGATCAACACCACATTTCGCTGCGTTGATTTCGTCTGTTCATGAGGTTCGNACCATTTGTACCAGTGCAATGAAAATGTATCTTAATAAAATGTGAAGCAAAATCTAAACTCAACAGATCGCCAAGTTCTGCTAATTTGGGTTATGGAATACATACAAAATAAATCTGAAATTACAGTTAAAAGTTTATGCGAAGTTGTGCGAAGTATGCATAATCAGACCTTAAGTCTTATAGGTCAAATAAAATAAGGCTTACATAATCCCTTATAATAAGGCATCAGATGGAGTATAGAAACGCTGCAAGCAGCGCTGCTAGCGTATTGCTTATTTCTTACAACTGCCTACACCATTTTTTGCTGGGAACAGTTCATTAGCTGCGCACTTACGACTTGTATGTGAAAGCGGAGTTGCTATCGGACACTCCTGTGTGCACCACTGATCTAAGTGCCCTGGGAATACTTCTGCATCCAAAAGAGAATATTGCCATGTTGATTAAATAGAATGGAAATATTTAACAAGATTGTTTTTCGTGGCAAAAAATAATATTTAAGTCAATTTCTTAACTGAACTATATTTTTAATTTTTATTGAGCCTGAGGCCGTTATTATTGAAAATTTTTGTGGAAAATCTACAATAAAAATATTTCAAAATAAATCGCTACTGGGCCAGAAAATAACAAAAACAAAATGTTGAAAACTTTTCTTTAAGGAGCTTAGAAGCAAATGTTTTTTTTTTAGCTCCTTGTTCCAGCTCCCCTCCAGCTAAAATTCTTTGCTCCTTTGCTCCAGAAGTCCTGATTTGAAGTATTCGGAATATAAAAGATTGCCATAAGAAATATGAAGCACCGCAGTGTAAATAATATCGCACATGTATGCGGGCCTTTGCTTTTTAACGTTATCGCATCAAATACGATATCGTATAGCACCGTTAGTATCACATCTCTTTGACACCACCTCAATATGCGTATAAAAATATGTACTTGTGTTATAATATCTTTTTAATAATTTTTAAGCGCGTGTGTTATCTACGTATCTTGCGTTGGAAACGCACGAAAGAAAACAGCACTAAATATAAAAGCTCAACTTAAGGAATGTCCAATTTGTCAGAAGAAGTTCGATGCGGATTATATAAGAAAACATATCGACACTGTACACAGTAACGAGCGAAATTTTCATTGCGACATATGTGGTGATTCATATAAGAGCAAACCTCAACTTAAGCGCCACATGTTATTACATACGAAGGAACGCAAAGTTCCATGCACTGTATGTGATAAGACATTTGTCGATAAAAGTGAACTTAAGGTACATATGCGAGTTCATACAGGCGAATTACCATATGCCTGCCATTTATGTGATCGTCGATTCAGAATTAAAGTCCGTCTCACATACCATTTGCAAAAACATGCTAATATTAAGCGAATATGTAATGTATGCGGCAAAGAGTTCAAAACTGGCACATCGTTAAGAAAACATTCATTTGAACATACTGGCTTAATGCCATATAAATGCAATATTTGCAATTATGGAAGCGTGAAGCGTGAATAGTAAGTTTTTTAAAAAAGCTTTGAAAACCTATTCGATTAATAAAATAATCTTTTTAACAGTTTTATTACACATATGCAACGCAAGCACGACAAAACTATGACGGCAGATGAATTATATGTAATGTTCAAAGTAAATACTGGCCGAACTCCATACGTTAAGCCCGTCGACGACATAGAAACAGCGAAGAAAGCACATCCGGAATACTTTGAGAGTAATAAGTTATAAAAAATTTTAATTCCTAAAAGTTAAAGTGGATACATTCTTTGGATCGTTTACAGTCAACTGCTTATACATATAAATTAAACGGTTCGTTGTTTAAGTGTTAAACAAGTTATTTCAGCTGCCTGGGTGTTTGTTTTATGTGAGTCTAAAAACGAAACTTCCAATCATTTTCTAGCTTGCAATGCGACCTTGTACAACTGTTCGTGGCAGATTATTGATGTGTAGAAGGGTTTGCTAATTTACGTACATGATGGAGGTAAAAACCACTCCGTTTCTCAGTATGCTGCGGAAGCCCTTTAAATTGCAGCTTCAGGCCCCCCTGAATTTTCATTGAAAATATCGTACCATTGATTTTCACACGATCGTTGAACACAACCAGGTAAGTACCGTTGACCTTGTTCGGAGCCTCTTTAATTTCTTCTATAACAGCCAGTTGATCATTGATGAATACTATACCATCGCTTATCGGTGTATTTGGTGCTAGGTTATTAAATGTTGCGCTGCAACTAGTGGTAGGCTCTTGGCTCTGGGTTCCGGGTTACAGTGAAATCACTGGAAACTGCACGGTCGAGGAGCTGGACCGTGGGAATTTGATCAGCTCAGCGGGCGTTGGGCGAAGTTCTTGGCATGCAAGGTGGCAAAGTCCTTTTGGCCATGTGTAAACCTAGGGCGGTCCAGGAACCGCTTCAGTCTAAATGCTTAAACAGACTCCAGCGTAGCAGTTAATTCCGAGTTGATCCGGATCAACACTGCCGTCTGTTTATGCTTTAAGCCAGGAACACTTCTCGCTAGTGATGGGAGTTCTAACTGGTTGTTGTTGTTGTTGTTGTAGCGGCTACTAAGCCCCGTTCGCTAAGCTTCCACAGGGGCTGTCCATAGGGACAGAGGCGTCAGCTGAGTGGGGTTGCACCAGCTGCATGGAGAACGATGAGGTGGGATCCTGTTGCTGTTTTAACTGCATACAAACTCCCCAAAGAGGTTTTGGGGAGTGATGTTGGAGTAGGCTTGCCAACATTTTCTAAGAAATTTATCGTATTAAAAAAAAATTAAAAAATATTGTACTACATGTATATAGGTTTGTTCGTAGAGCAAAAAATTTGTACGAATTATCATGATTTTTGCCCAAATCGCGTTCGTGCAGACCAAAAAATTATCCAACACTCAAAAATTGTGAGAGCAAAGTGACAGTTCTCTTGGAGAGATGTTGCAAATTCTTGCTGGAAAAAATTTTGCCAGCAAGAATTTGCAAACACGAAAAACATGTGGTTGTGGCGCATGGTTGCATTTTTGTCTACAATAATTTGAATAAATTAGTTCGTTAAATTTAAAAATTTATAAACACGAGCGATTTTTTTATGAAAAAAGGAAGTAAATAATTGTTGATATAATTAATTTAGTTAATTCAAATGATATGAACTTAATTCGGCTGAAAAAATGGTATTCGCAATCGGAATGCAATTGCAACCAGAGTCGATTTAAGAAAGTCAGAACAACAAGAAATATACATGAAAAACCTGTTTTTGGCCATCCGAAAGAATATTAAAAATTCTATAAAAAATTTTTATGTTTGAAATGCAACCGTGGACGCCAGCTGGCAGCGAAACTTGCAAATTCCTGCAAATTTGCGTTCGTGCAGAAATTTGCAAGTTTCTCAACATGAGAGAATTTGAGAGAATTTTTTCTTACTCTCTGATATTTTGAGTGTTGGATAATTCTTGCTGGATTTTCGACGAACAAACCTTATATCTTCTACATACTTATGCCTAAAAGGTATTTTTCTGTTACCAACCAATATCTTCTTCGATATTTTTTCAAATTTAATGACTGACATCTCATTTTGAAGGGGAGAAGCTCCCGTTGTTCAAATTTAATTATTTACTAAAAAAGGGGTTTACAAAGCTGAAAGCACTGTAACCGGTCAATAAAGCGCTATATCTTCCATAATAACTTTATCAATTGAAGGAAAGCTTCTCTGCTTGATGCAAAAATAAAAACTTTTTAATAGCATTGCCACCCGCTTAAAATTGTATATTGAGCAATTGAATAATGTGTTGTTAATTTTCGGTCGCTATCAGTGCTTGTGTTATTTTTCTTTTTTTTACTAAAAGTATATTCGGTAATGACGGGAGTTATTGCTTGTTTTTGCGGCAGTTTCGGAAGAGGCATACTATTTAATTTCCATACTAACTTTTGCACCAAGTTGTGGATTGCAAACTGTGTGAAGTACTGGAGCTACTCCTGCTTTGTTATTTCTTTTTGAATTCGCCTAGAAAATAAATAAAATCGGTAATTATCAAAAAAATAAAAAAATTGCAAAAATATTTACTTTTCCTGTTGTTCAGCATCCATCTTTTGTATTTATTTTATTTACGAAACAGCTGTTAGACAGTAAAATGCTTTTCACCTCGTGTGGTGATTTTGTTGAGCTTTTTTCTTATGAGGCGTGGGCAAGAATAACCTCACAAAAGGAGCGTTCCTTATCTCCCAGAAATAGTCAGAAAAAGCCGGAAGTAGTCAGATTTAGTCCAAAAAGCGTTCCTTAACTCGGAAATGACAGCAAAAATGAGAGAGCAACACTCGGTGAGAGTGACTCTCATCAGTCCGAAGTAGTCAGATTTAGTCAGAAGAATTTTTTCTGGAAAATCCTGAAAAGTGTCAAACTCAACTGAATTTAAATTAACGGAAATTAAAGAATACGCAAAAAATGAGAATAATCTAAAAAGTAAAAAAAGTGAATTGAAATTGGAAGGAGGCAAAAAATAATTGATATACTAAGTGTTTATTGTGCTTGTGTTTGTGTGAAGGTGTTTTGTACATACATTTACATTCTTATTTGACGTTAGCTTTGTTGTTGCCATTCTTTGGACTAAAAATTTGGTTTTTTGCGTTCCTTTACTTTTCCTGTTATTCTCTTTTAGTGAGCGCATTTTGCTTACGCTCTGACATTTTGACACTTTTCAGATTTTAGTCCAAAAAGATAAGGAATGAACCTAAAATAGACCTCACAAGAAATCTCACAAATTTTTGCTCACAACTCAGTTGGGAGGTTTTATTAGAATACCCTATTAGTGTGTGCAGNTTTTTGCTCACAACTCAGTTGTGAGGTTTTATTAGAATAGGGCTGTTAGTGTGTGCAGTGCATGATTCAATAATTAAAGGTTTGCTCATTATTGAGATTAGACTTTTGACACTCCCTTAGCTGCCTTACAAAAGCTTTGCACACACACACGAACCCACACAGTGCTTTGCTAAGGGAGCCGATTTTGTCAAGAGGGAGCGAGAAAACTGCTTTTTGAGCAAACCCTTTATTATTGAATCATGTGTGCAGTGTACATTGCACACGAAAGTCGATGCATCGAAAAAATATATCGATATATCGATGTATATCGGAAAGTACAAAACATCCGTTTTATTCGATACATTGAATAGCGAACAGAGATGNAATCATGTGTGCAGTGTACATTGCACACGAAAGTCGATGCATCGAAAAAAATATATCGATATATCGATGTATATCGGAAGGTACAAAACATCCGTTTTATTCGATACATTGAATAGCGAACAGAGATGTTTTTTTTGCATCCCTAGTTTGTTAGCACCTGCCGCCATAACGATATTTTTGGTGTTTGCATTATAATATAGTTTTGTCAGGTAACAATAATAATAAACACGAAATCCTGCATGGAATCTAAACAAATAAATACTTAAATGAACTCAACTTAAGTAATACGTCTGCGAAAATGCAATGCCGCGCTTGTATGCAAAAAAACTATGATGGATTTGTGGAAATGAGTTACGCCGTATCAGCAGACGGCAAAACCTTGTACGATTACTTTAATGAATGTACCCAGCTTCAAGCGACAAATACAGACAATCTTCCGAAATTGCTATGTCTAGCGTGTACTCAAAGTTTGCGCGCGGCCTACAATTTTAGGCAAGGCGCTCGCCGTTCAGATGAGGAACTAAGGAATATTTTGGAAGGTGCAGTAAGTTTGGATGATACTTATACAAAGCAATCGCAAGTATAGCGTTCAATAATATTGCTTCAAATCGATATATGTACATATTTCCTTTTTTTGTTAGCATTTTGGCGATTATTTGAACCAGTCTATATATGAAATTGAGGAAGTAAATTTACCCTTACAAGATATAAAGACCGAACTTACAATAGAGATAATTAACGAATTAGACGCGGGACAGTTATCAAATGTAGATTCTGATGAATCGATACCATATGAAAGTGAAAATGGAAATGATGAGTTTAGTAGGGCGACCCATATCTGTGAATTCTGTGAATGTAGTTATACCACGCAAAATAAACTAAAAGATCACATTTTAAACCTCCACAAGGGTAAGCTCCATTTCTAAACACAATATTCAATTTGGTAAATACCACTAATATTTTCATTTGATATACAATAAACATCTACATACATTCCAGATGAAATTACTTGTACCAGGTGTCAGCAGATGTTCGAAATGCCAAGAGAACTGAAATTGCACGAGGAGCTTGTTCACATGACTGAATCGCCTGTGGCCTGTCCATGGTGTAGAGCTCCTAAATTTATCCCAAGAGAGAAATTAACAAAGCACATGCAAACGAGACACAAAAGGTCTTTCTTAAAATATTTTCCACGTATCAAAGTTTGTAGTCCAGATACTCATGAGCCTTTTCAGTGTGAACGTTTTCAAGAGTTCTTGCAGATTGAGTTAGCAGATAACATTCACGAGCACACATTCGAATGTGTCATATGTTCTAAGAGTTTCAAAGAACATAGTGCTTACAAAACCCACATAAAAAGCATACATAATAGTTCCATTTGTAGTAAGGAAGATATCCCTACGAAAGATGATGGGAAATTGAAGAACGCACTAGAGTGTTCCGTATGCTTAAGAAAATTCAAACTTGAAAGGACATTTGAATTGCATATGAGAACTAAGCACAAGCCAGATTCTGTGAAGAAAAATAACCCTTCTGCAAGAGCAAAGAGAGACTATGCGCGAAGTCGCAGAAAACGGAAAGAAGTATCACCAAATAAAAAAGCATCACGCGAAAGTAGACATGCTCAAATGTTGACAGAGGGGAAAAAGTATCTGTGCTCTATCTGCCGTGAGTATAGAATTAAAATGTTATTTCCTTATATTCCAACGGGTTCTGTACAGGGATCGAAAATAATAGTTATCTTCGAAATTTCAATCAATAACTACAGTTTAATTTTAACTTGGCACAGCAAATTTTTCACAATATATGCAACAATTTTCATTCTAATATTTTTCCGATAATTTCGTATAAAAATATGGTTCATTCTACAACAAAAAACATAAAAATATAATTTCTAAACTTTGTGCAAAACTCTATCAATTTTATTATAATAAAGTCAAGTTCTAAGTAGCTAGGAATTACCGTTGATTTTTGGCAATTTTTTTCACGCAGTCCCTTCCATACGAAATTTTTTTTCAAAAATACTTTATTGGTAAAAAATGCAAAACACCTTCAACAAAAAACATTTTTAATATCAACGCGATTTTCGACTAACTCCGAACTTGCATTTTACTAGAATTTAATGGGCTGCAAAACTGCATACTCAAACAAATTTTAAAAAATCTGATAAAAAAGTTGAAAATTTTTCTGAATTTTCGCGAGTTTTGTACAAAGTTTAGGAATTATATTTTTATATTTTTTGTTGTTGAATAAACCAAACAAAATTGGCGAAAAAATATTAGAATGAAAATTGTCCCATTTATTGTGAAAAATTTGCTGTGCCAATATTTTGTTCCGGCAGTATATGTCGAATCAAGGTGAATTTACACAAGGTGGTGTTGGGGCACGAAGTAGCGAACAATTAAAAGTGAAGAACGCGTTGAAAAACTGAAATTCACTAGAACTTGCACTAAAATTACTGTTTTTCACATTTTCCTTATTAACTCTTGTTCTAAATTTTTCAATTTAAAGAATGGTATATTCACTTTCGAGTAAAGTCAAGTTCGTGTTGAATTCAAATTAGCAGGGGTTAAAATTCACTCGGAAGTAAAATGCAGAACCTGCTCTATCAAGATAATTGACTAATCTGACAGTTCTTTTATCCTATTCGGCTTTGTTCAACTTTTAATTGAGAAATATCATCGCCGTTAGAAATACATTACTATAACTCTCATTCCTAAACAGAAGCGTTGAGCGGAGCGTTTTCTGGCGCCAAGCGTTAACGCCGAAGTGCCATACCTAAACAAAAGCGGCAACGCTATGTCAAATGCAGAAAAAACAGCAACAAAGCATAGGTTTGTTTGTGTAAAATACGGTCGGTGTTATGCAGAAATTTTGTTTGGCAAACTGCGTGCAATTGTTGTAGCAGCAAACTCGGAGAGAGCGAGTTTGGCGACTCTCACAGCAAACTAATTTTGTTTGGTCAAACTGCAGCAAATTCGGTGTTGTCATATACAAAAATTTTAGACAATTGTTGCTAGACACATAAAAATGCCGTGATACTGAAAGCCAGAGAGCTGAATTTATGCTGTAGGAGCTTCAAAGATTAAGGCACAGTTAATTGCCTATACGACATCATAAAAAATATATTAATTGTGCGCGTTATGTACATCTGAAATTCTCATTTCGTGTTGGCAATAGCCATGAAAACCATAATGAACGTGCAACCCTATGCCAAACTCGGCATAACAACCTCCGAGCAAACTAAGCAGCCGCCATTTAATTTGGCAAACAAAAGTTTGCCTGCATAACACCGACTTACGAAAATTACAGTTTCGCCGTTTTCTGAATCTAACTTCACTTCCTAATGCTCTGTTAAATTCGGATTTTCCAACCGCTCGGCGTTGACGCTGAGTCATTTCGGTATGCTTCATAAAAATTTTGTGGCATTAGAATTTTTTAACAGGTATAGCAGTAAGCATGGGCGTAGCCAGGTAGGGGCAGGGGGTGCTCGAGCCTCCCCCCTAACTTTCAAATTTTCCTTATATATATATAAAATAGTACCCTGAAATGCCGGCTTAAAGCGAAGCGCACATTAGCGCGATTCCATCGTTGCGAATACGTTGCGAATTCGGCTGTTAACTTCGAATCCGCAAACGTGCGCACACTTGAGCGATTTTTTCGCGTCGATTTCCGATGTACAATTCACTCAATTTTCCCTTTATTTCGTGTATTTTCGCACTCGGCATGCCCAAATCGTACAAAATACTATTATTACGAACGTTTTTATTAGTTTTTGTACATTACACGTTTTTTTTTTCTTTGCCTTTATTGCTGTGACACCTTTCTTCTTCTTCTTTGACGCCTTCAAAACGCTGCAGCCGCGTTTCGAACGCGTCAATAGAGAGGAACATTGAATGTTCGAAAAATTCGCAGCGACGGAATAGTGCAAGTGTGCGCTAGCGCATTAAAATGTATGGGTAGCATTGTTGTAATTTTTGGGCTTGCGGATTCGCAACGACAGAATCGCGCCAATGTGCGCTTCGCTTTATAGGGTCGAGCCCCCCCCTAAATTTCATTCTGGCTACGCCGTAAGTAACGTAACTCTTACCGTTTTTTCTGTAGGCTGTAGGTGTGTTTTTGGTGAGTGTATTGAAATAAATTTTAATAGAAATGGAAGAAATTGTAGAAAATAATAGCAAATACGAAAAAAACAGGTGACCTCCGCTGTATGCATTTTATGGCAATCAACTGATAGTGTCTTTCTAAGGAGGTTGTCCGATGTACGCAATCTTCTATTCTATCATTCTTGGTGTTGGGGCGACAGCTAAAATTTTTCGCCTTAGGGAGCATAACGTCAAAAATAATGTGTTTGTTTGTTCATACTGTCATTGTGCGTATAATTTGTGTAATTTTTTTACTTATATATGGCCAAGACAAATTTTTAAAATTCATATGAATATACGGCTAATGCCTTGCGAATCGTAAGGATTCTCTTGATTTTAGATGTGCATTATAAAGGCCAAAACACAATAGCGCAGTGGCAGTGGCAGTGACAGTTTTTAAAATCAGCTGTTACTGCTAATATTGGCAGTCAATGCCGCAGCAAACACAATACGGCGTTGTCAGTGACTGCTTTTTTTGACATTCCCTTTTGTTTGTTTACATTTTTGTTGTTGCCTTTTAGGCTTCAGTGACATCAACAGATGTTGGCTGCGTTTCATTTATGTCAAATTCAGCATGCGAAGTTTGCTGCGATGAAGGCAGTGGCAGTGAATTTAGAATTTGGGCTAAACTGAGCAGTACTGCTAGCTGCCACTGCTGTATTGTGAGTCGCTTCATTGGACACCACACTTTCTAAAAAACAGCTGATTTCGAAAAACTGCCGCTGCCACTGCCACTGCGTTATTGTATTTTGGGCTTAACCATTTGCATTCATTTCATGTATAATAGATAATTAAGTATCGGTTCACTCCGTTTCGTTACTTCCATTATAACTCGGTCCTAACACCACCTTCTTTAATTCGCCTTGTGTCGAATCATTACCCCAGGTCTCCACCTTCTACGATTCACAGATACAGATACAGATTCTACAGATTTCACTGGATAATTAAAAATTCGTTTATCTAACACTTTTTATGTCTCTGCGCGTCGGTTAGAGATGAGTTGGAGAATGATATTCGAATATCAACTTGAGAATTATGAATTTCTCCAAGGTTGGACAAATATTTTTTTTTTGTGTTTGTTGGGAGATACAAAACTCGTTTTATGCATGCATTCAAAAAACTGGCGAAAGAGCAGTTAATTATTATAAAAGTATGTGTTGAAAGCCTGAAAGAATGCGTAATAGTTTTCAATTTGGGCAATTGTTAGACTATAAAATCTTTACTTTTGACGACAAAACTCAGCCTTAGATTGCCTTTACCTACTTACTTGCTTACTTTTTATTTTTATAACCAATTTACCAAGCTCGGGAAGAAACGAACAGTAACTCCAAGCATTTTTCGTCTTAGTTACAGAGACCCGTTAAATAAGTTGTTTAATTTTAATGGGATTTGTTAAACTTTTAGAAAGATTTTGGATGTGTTTGTGAAAATAAATATGTGTTAGTTACACCGGCATCTGCAAATCAAAGTTCTCGAAATCTTAACGAAATCTTTAGGATTATCTCATTTCTGTAACGATTTTTTTACGAATCTTCAAAGAAAATTATATGAAGCAATGTACACGAACTCGTAAAGAAATTTCTGTACGGAGCTCTATTTTTTAAAACCTACAAGTGTGTAATCACATTATTTTTATGAACAGAACACGAGAAAATATTTTACTTTTATTTTGGCTACTCTGAGTTTAGTTTTTGAATTCACCCGCCTTGCAAATTTACATTGTTAGATCTAATTTTCACATTTATTTTTTTTACGAGCTTTGGGAGTATTTAGAAATGTATCAGCNTTAGTGATAAATGATCCACACATAAGTAAATGCACATAATAGCTGGGTAAATATTTAATAAAACAAATTTTCTGTTTATTTTTTTGTCAGCCCGTAAATTCAATTCGGAAACTTCCGTTAATGTACATGAAAATCGGGTTCATTTGTCAAAGAAACCCAAATCAAAGGAATGTCCGATATGCCACAAGAAATTTGATACAGACTATTTCAAGCAGCACGTTCAAAATGTTCATACATCAGA